AATTTTAAATAACAGTTGACTTGTTTACAAATCATCCAAACTTCGAACGTCATTCAGCGAACCCAATTCAGCCAGCTAAACCAGGTGTTACTAAACGTTGGGTAGGCAGAAAGCAGAAAAGCGCGTTATCGTTCATTTCTGACTGACCGGACGCATTCCAATGATAACTGTAAAGTGACTCTGTCCCCTGACCCATGCAGTACCGGATGGATCTCGTTGTTTGACTGCGTTGTGTATGATGAAAAATAATTCAAGTATTGTGGCAGAAAAGGATATTTGTGGAAACAGTGTTCCAGATTAAGTGAAGGATTTGTATGAATGGCTACAACTAATAACGCATCTGATCCAGATCAGAGTCATCTCATAAAGTGTGACCTTGACTTTATTTCGAAGAAGTGCACAAATATTCATGCATCTGAATGATTTCTTCAATCTCGTGTGCCATGGAGATTGTCTACGTTTGACATCTTGGAGGAACTAATGTCTTATTTTGTGTCACATTCTGACCTCACACTAGACAACACACAACACATTTTGTCTCAGTTTGATGATATGGCCCTAAATGTGAAAGTGGAGTGTCTGAATACATTCAAGACTGCTTTTGATAATGCCAAAGAAAAATTAGAGAAATACTTAAGTGATGGTCAGCCTGGTTTACAATTTCTTAAAGCAGTCAGACTATTTAATCCCAGTAGAGTCATCATTCTAGACAAACTACAGCGTAAACATAGTGCCATTCCAGATGTACCCATTGAGGAATCTAATTTGTATGTTTCTGTACTTGCACCAGAAGCAGTGGCAGCAGCTGGTGATACCAAAATAGATGTGACCAATTTCTGGTTTTCTGGAGTTCCACGCTTAGCAAGACTTGCTAGGCGATACATGAATGCTGTTACAAATTCAGCTGATGCAGAGCGAATATTTTCCCTCTATAATCTTGTATTGACTCTATCAACACTAATTGATAAGTTTACAACAAACATACCGGAATGATGGAATGATATGTGGAACATTGAGCTTAAATTTGGGAATGTAACGGACATTTTTTAGGCAGCTGTATGTATGGAATTAGAACGTAGTTTGAAGAAACAGTGGGTTTTTCGCGACCGCGCGATGCAGCTCGATTGCCTCGCCGACGCCGAGCTCTTTGCTCATTACCGGATGCCCAGACATGCTATCCTGTCTCTAGTTGATCTTGTAAAGCCCATGCTTGAGAGACCCACCCAGCGTACCCACCCCGTTACCCCGGAGAAGCAGGGGCTCCTTACTCCCAGGTTGTTGGGGAAAGGGTTTTCCTATCCGAGATCGGTGATCTCCATGGTGTATATATGGCAAGTGTAATCCGGGCCTCCCATGACACTGTGCGGCCTTTTTATAGCCATTTGAACCATATTTCTTTTCCATTGACACAAGTAGAACAGCAGCGAATTAAACGTGGGTTCTGTAGTATTGCTGGCTTCCCGGGTACCGGGTGCAGTAGAAGGTACTTTGATACCAATTATAACACCAAATGAGGAAAAGGCTTTCGTTTACAGTAAGGGCTACCACGCCATAAATGTGCAAACAGCTTGCGATTCTGACCTCAGGTGAGCCACAATCTCTACAACATAACATTATCTATATGAAAACAAGTATAATCTAAACACGATTTCCCGTAAGACAATGTTTACAGTAGTTCTATCGAAAATCCATCACAACATTGCCGAATTGTTTACATTAGCAACGTCCTTGACTTTTTAGATTTAGTACAGTACAGTAGTACAGTATTACTTTCCAGCTTATTCCAGTCAGTATGTCACCTAGTAAGATTAAAATTGTGTAATTAGGTCTTCAGACGAAAGTCTGGAAGACCTATTGTTCTTATCCGAATGTTATTCTTCTTATTATTCCAACCATTTTTGTGACAGCTCTCCTGAACTAACTACTGTGTCGAACTTTCAGGGATGATAGCCTGTGTGCTGAAATTGATACATAGTGGAAAAAATCCCGACTTCCGGCTTCCGGTAAGGGCAGACAACCCAAAATGTCGAAATCTTTACACCTGAATAACTCAAAAACTATAAGAGATAAATTGACCAAATTTTCACTCAATGTAGACAACATCATTCCCCATTGATTCAACCCATATTGGAAGTTTGCCGGCAGAATAAATTTTCCGCAATTTTGGAAAAACTGAATTTTTTCCCGATTTCCGCCTTTTGACGGTGCCTGTCTTTAAAAATCTTCTTCTCCAGAATGGCATATAGTACAATCGTGTTCTATACACCGTTGGAAAGCCTATACTCTGGACACCTAAATCTGTTCAAGGCATGTTGATATCTTGAAGAGTTTTTGAGTTATCGCCCTTGGAAGTTGGTGAAATTTCAAAGACGCATTTTCATAGCGTTAAGAAAAAGGTCACAACTCTGCGGAAAAGCTATGGATTCCATTTTTCTAAGTACCAACCTGTAGGTAATTGAATGGGAAACATTTTTGCTTCACATCATGGTTATGTAAAAATCAATAATAACGTCACCATTACGACACAAACACAGCCTTCGTGATTTTGCACATTTCCGCACTTTTTTTACGGTGCCTGTGTTTAACAATCTTCTGCTCCTGAACGGCAAATAGTACAATAGTGTTCTATATATCGTTTGAACGCCCACACGCCGGACTGCTTAGTTTGCTCAGGGCATATCGATATCTTGAATGGTGTCTGAGTTATTGCCCTTGGAAGTTGGTCAATTTTTGACAAAACGCATTTTCATAGGGTTCACAGCTCTGCGAAAACACAATGGATTTCCTTTTTGAAGATACCAAACTGTAGATAATGAAATGTGGAACAATTTTGCTTCACATTATTATTATGTAAAAGTCAATAGTTACGCCAGAATTATGCCACAAACAGGGGGACATTAGGATTTCGCATTTTTTCAGTTGTGAGATAACTAACTGAAGGAACCGCCAGTAAGGTATAGCAACAATCGCCGCTTCCTGGTATTCCAGTGCCCACAGAAATAGTTCCCTCCTTTGAAGAAAGGATTTTCGCATCTCTCCTTTAGTATGTGTCTGTATATATTGCTCAATTCCTTTGGTTTGTTTGACTGTGCCTTCCTGTTTGTTTTTCTGCAGTTTGTGAATTTTCCGTTTGTATCAGAAGCATGCCAAATTCATCTCATAAACACTGTAATGGACGCTCCAGCTGCCGTCCAAAGAAACAGTACAAGTGAAGGTAGCCATGGGGGGTGTATGGAGGAAGTCTGAAGACCGCCAGTATTGCCCAAGAGGCAATCCTAGTTTACCTATTCTAATCACATCTAGATTATATTGATACCAGTTGACAGTCTGTGCGAATGATGCACTCATAAAATATCTTGTTGCCTGTGAGCACTAACAACATTATTACTGTTTCGATTGTAGCCTACTGTTGGTCATTTTCAGATTTACGAATGGAGCAGAGATAAATCTAGGCTGCGCGATCGCGGGAAACACGCAATATAAAATGGGTTCCCGCACTTCACAAATTTGCAGGGGGGAGTGGTTACGCAAAACAAGTGATTGTCCCATGTTGTGATGTCCTGTGCGCGATATTTTGTTAAAAACTTGAAGAAAATCTAGTCTGGGCACTGTATCATGGAAACAGTTTCATTGCTTACTTGTAAACATCCGGTCGTGTCAGTGTGCATAAGGGGAGCCAATGAAATGCAAGCTATGTGCCTCTTAACATCGTTATCCAATCACGTTTCTTGTTTCAAAATCGAAATCTGGAGATGTCACACGAATTACTTCGTTTTCTATTTATAGGGTACGGAAATAAATTATTCAAAACACTCGCGCATGCGTGATTAATACCTTTTCGCTCACTTCCTCAATCCTTTTATCGACTGCTTAGCAGACGACCCATGTGGTTTATGTTAATGTTTGCCGGTGTCAAGTAAGTTGCAATGGCGGAAAAGAGGAAATCAGCCTGAATTACATACTTTTTCGTGCGTAGCGGTGCAAGTAACGCTGTCGCCAATGAGAATTCACACTCGATAGAAAATGAAGAAACTGTCAACGAAGGATGCACCGGGATGCCTCTCCGTCAGAAAGAAAATGGCGATGCCGCTGATCATGATAGTGCTACGAAGAAACGAAAGTTTGAACCGAAGTTTCAATCATCTTGGTTGAAAACTTACACTTGGCTGAAACTGAATAATAATTCTGAAATGTTATGTGAACTTTGTGTCAAGTCGTGCAAGAATAATCCTTTCACTTCTGGGTGTAAAAATGTCCATGTCAAATGAGCATGTTCAGTCAGTGAAAGATCATGTTCTACGTGATAGTTTTGAACAAACATCCAACAATGTTGTCAGTACAATTGAAGAGAGAGAAGCTGCCCTTATTTGTGCAATGAGAACTATGTTTTACATTGTGAAACGAAATATTGCATCATGCAATTACCCTAACATGCTTGCAATGCAAGAAGAAAATGGTGTGGACCTTGATGACTTGAAAGTCGGAGGTAATGCCGCATACTCATCGATTCATCGATGGCAACTGCAACAGATTTTGTGGATACATTTGTTGATATAATTTCAACAAAGATTGATGAAACAATTGCTGCAAGTCATTTTGTAACCATACTTATAGACGAAAGTACAGACATTTGTGTACAGAAAAAATGGTCATTTATTGCAAAACTGTGGATAAAGAACTCAACATGAAAACATTCTTCCTAGGTAATCTGAAATTAAGTGACATCAGTGTTACAGCAGAAGTTTTGTTCCATGAACTTACCACCTTTCTGCAGACCAGAGGAATATCATGGTCTAAAGTAATTGGCTTTGGATCTGATGGAGCTTCAATTATGACAGGGAAAAAGTCAGGTGTAGCAACACGAATAAAGGCAGTCAACCCTTTCTGCATATCTGTACATTGCATTGCCCACAGGCTAAACCTCTGCACTTCCAAAGCTGCAGATGATGTGAAGTACATGAAGGAAACTTTCAAGAAAACCCTCACAGACTTGTATTATGTCTTCAGCAAATCTACAGCTAGGACTGAGGAGCTGAAAAGCATACAGACAATTTTGGATTCTTCTTTGGTGACAATCAAGGAGGTGCATGAAATTCGATGGATATCATTTTATAACTCCATCAGTGCAGTGTACAAATCACTTAGGGCACTCGTCACCTATTTCAAGAAACACAGAAAGGACAGTTCCAGGACAGAGTCTCTTTACTTGAAGTTGACAGACTTCACCTTCATAGCGACACTCTATTATTCCACAACTAGCAGCCCTCAGCATGGTGTTCCAAAAGGAAAACCTGTATATTGCAGCTATGCATCCAGCCATTGATGGTGTTTATGCAGCTATTGAAACAGCAAAGTCGGGCAAGAGTTACTACCAACAGCTTCTTAATATGTCTCACACTAAGATAAATGATGGGAAAATTACAGTGAACGGAATCAGTGTGTCAAACAGCACTGAGGGGAAAACTGTTAAGGCTGCCAAAGAAGAGTTTGTAAAAAGCAGAGATGATTTTTTGTTGAAGTTAGTTGAAAAGTTAAAAAAAGAGGTTTCCACAACAGAGCACCCATGTTGCAACATCATTCCATATTCTTGGCCTCAGACCAATCACTTTTCTTTCTCAAGAAGAATTACAGTCCTATAGCCTGAAAGAACTTGACACACTTCTTGATCACTTTGGCAAGACCAAGGAGGAACTACAACAGATGTCTACAGGCAGTCAGCAGATTCCATCACCATGTGTTGATTCAGAGGACACCAGTGCAGAGTGGGCTATTGTGAAAGGTGTTGTTATCCAGAACAGATATCCCAGAGACAAAACAGTTACTTTGTGGAAGATTATCAAAGAAAATCATGGTGACCTGTTTCCAAACTTGATAAAGTTGGTTCAGTTATCACTGCATATGCCACTACAGACAGCTGACTGCGAAAGAGGCTTTAGTTGTCAGAACCACATTCATACAAACATCAGAAATAAACTTGATCCAGAAATGGTAAACAAACTAATGACTATTCAGTTGGAGGGGGGGGACATCATCTTTTGACTTTAGAAGAGCTGTTACTGTGTGGAAATCAAAGAGAGATCGACGACTAGTATACAGGAAGTAATCATGTACTGTGTACACAAGTAAGTAAATTGTTACTTGTATTACAGTTTGACTATGCCCTCCCCCCCTTTTCCAAGTGGCCTGGGGAGCTCCCCCCTTTATCTCTTGTTGAATCCTAGTTTTATCTCTGATGGAGTTGTTCGTTTGCCTGCAGTGGCCTTGGGAAGAAACTGGAAACTGGAAACTGGTGTGCTTGATGGCTGGTTATTGAGAGATTCTGGTAAAATATTCAAATCTATACTGTCATGGTTATGGTACACAATGACATTGCGTTATTTATGAATGATTGTAATATGCCAAATTAACAACATTTTGTCATATTTTCCCCACTGTTGACTAATACAAATGTTTTTACACTTATAGAATAATGTATTTCATAGCAATTATAACATTAAGTCATAATACTAAATTTTAAAATGGTTTATATTCACCGGCATGCATGCAGACCCTGGCTACTGGCTCCGGTAGGAGAGCTGCAAAATCGTCCAGAGGAAAGATACAATTCCAGCCACGCTCGGACAAGAAATAGTCCAGAGAGGGCGTTTGGAGGTCTCAAGTCTAGATTTCAGTAATTCATTTCATTGAAGATCATATATTGTTCCCAGTAAAATTTAGCAAATCAGATTTAAAATGTAAAATTACATGACAATTTAAAGTATTCTACATAAAACAAATCACTACTAGTTTTTTAGTTCAAGTATTTGAAATAACTAAGAATACCACAGCCCTGGTCTTTGCATAATAAACAAGACATACTATATCCAGCATATCTGCCCTTATTAATGCAACAAATTTCCTCTATATCCAAATACACTAGCTTTACCACGTGTAATTCAAATATAACAAAAAGGAAATAATTTTCCAAGCAATATATACTTTTAGGTGTTTGCACAAATCAATAGGATGCTTGAAACCTCTACAAAGGAGCTGTGAAACGAGAGAAACCTCATTGTACACATATTCACTTAGAGTAAGTAGTTTCAAATCATGAAAATAATTTGCGAAACATATATCACTTGTATGATTTCAATTGAAAAGAATATAACAATTCAAAAGTTAGCAGTGCTTCTTCGTGAAATATTTTCACCATAATCTATCTGGTTACAGCTGAATCACATCACAATTCATTTCATCATGTTTCATAAATATCATCAAATGTTAAATGTTCATTTGTTCCATGTTGTCCGAGTCTTGCCGTTGAATGCCGCCTCTGTACATCTTCACCTTTTCCTTCTGTTTGTTCATGTACCATGTTGTCAACAAGGATTTCCCTTCACTTCTTCTCTATTCCTAGCCAGGTAACCCATTCTTTGGGATTTTCCCTTTTCTATTAATAGGTCACATCAAAGACTTCCTTTGATGTGCTACCTATCTTCTAATTGGCTAGTGTGGCCTCTGACCTTACTTCCTTTGGCCACCTGTTTTCCACTTGCTGTTGCTGAGCTGGAAACATCTTTTCCCTTCTCAGGTATGGCCATTTTTCTAATCTGTTTCCATCTGCCTCTTTACTTTATAAATCCCTATAAAAATAGTAAACATTATTACAATAATAATATTATAACATTGAAGTAATATTTAATTGATAATTATATAAATTTAGTTAAATATATTACTTTACAATTCATGTAAATTGTAAACATGGCTGAAGCCATGTGCTTTCAGTTTTTTGTTCAAGAGTGCAATAACTGGTAGTTGAATTGATAATGTGTTTACTGTGATATTTAAAACTATTTAATATTAATTGTTAACATTTGTTAAAATTATTTACTTGAGTTTAATTTTTATGACTCCACTTGCTGTTGCTGAGCTGGAAACATTCTTTCCCTTCTCAGGTTTGACCTCAGCAACAGCTTCATTCTTCACATAATAAAATTCATTTCATCACCATTGCCTTGTGTCGTCTTGAGCAGCAGCCCAGAGCCGAACTGCATAAACACGGCTACAATTTGGCGCCCAACGTGGGGCTGCTTGTCTCAAGACAGACATCATTCACCTCCATTCTCATCTTCATCTGGAGTGAACAGCCTATATGGATGAACTCTGTTGGGAGACCATGATGTGAATATTCTTTGGTGGCACCAATTGACTCCTTTTTGTGAGGATTATTCTTGGATGTGTTTAATATGATTTCATGGACTGAGGATTCTTCATAAGCTGTAAGTACTGTTGCACAGGGACTCTGAGAGCCTTATGACTGCCGCTCAGCAGCAAGCTGAACATTTTGCTTACAGACTGATCTCATCCATGGAGAACTGTGTTTTCAACCACATCCTTGATATATGTGCCCCATGAACTTTGATTGTACATAATGAACTGTTGAGTCGATTGAATTGATGCCATGATCATGTGTTCGAAGTCATCCTGAAAAAAAAAAAGAAAAAAATTCATTAAGCATTTTACAATTGTATATACACCAGATACTATTTTCATTATATTTCTATTTCTACAACTTTGAATAGATTTCTATTTCTACAACTTTGAATAGATTTCTATTTCTACAACTTTGCACAGATTTCTATTTCTACATTGCCTATATATATATATTCATATTTTTATAAATGTAATTGGGCAATTGTAATTTTCATTGATTATCATTGAATTTTATTCTAATCAAGTAAATAATCTGTATTGATAAAGTTAACAATTTAATATCACAGTTTCAGTAAATAATACTTTCAGCATACAATTACCTATTATAGTAGTTAAATATTAATGTAATAGGATAGGATAAATTTATTGCACCTTATTCTTTCTCTTTCTCTTCCGTCCACACTTGCTATTGGCGTTCCCGGTATTTTTCTTTCGCGTTATCTCTACCGCTGTGGAGATATTCTTCATTCCCTGCTTTTTCGCGAGTCTTTAACATCGTGTCTCGTCTTGTGTTGTCTTGTTCCTTCATCATTGATATTCATTGTTGCATTATTCATACTGTCGCATAACAGTTGTCATTGTTGGTAAGCTTTGTGGCTTACTTTATCAATATCTTGTCAGTTTACTCTTGGCTTAAGAGTTGCTCAGGTTGATTTGTCCTACAGTTCCCCTGCTCATATTGTTGACATCTCGGTGCTGACATTCTAGTTGTATCTTCATACTTCCTGTTTACATCTGGGTGTTTACATTTATTGGCTGTTACACTTTGCTGCTACACTTTGCTATTGTCCCTGGACAGTCATACATCTGTAGCAATACACTCTTGCCTTTGAGAACATACCTGTTTCAGAAACACAACATTTTAACTCCGCTTCAGATTATATATCTGACATAACTTAAGTCACTTGAGTCACACAACATAGTGCACTTCACTTAGTTGTATTATCTTGAATCACTTTGATTAAACCTTTACATTCAAACTTAGTCACAATTACACCTTCCAGTACCATGCATCCCATTTTGTATCCTTTTTGGAGGAGTTAATTTTTTCATCTTCCCCACAACATTTGCTATTCTTAGACTTAGATAGTAGTGTTGTAAGTTGTTGAATCTTAACTTGTGAGATTCTTTTTGCCTTTAGTTAGGTACATTTGCATATACTCATTTGTCATCAGTTACTTTTGACACTTTGACATTACTCCATTACACTTTATGCACTAGACTTGTACATTATTACACTTACTTGTTCACTTTTTTCCACTATGGCTGAGCATAATTTGGAGCGTGTGGACCCAGATGTTGTTGGTGAGGAAAGTCGTTAAGCATGCATGTTATAAGGCGTTGTATCTGTTTACATTAGCAACGGCCTCGACCTACAAACGAGCCGATAACTACTTCCTTGTCAAATGAAACGAGCGTCATTCAGTCTTTTTTAAATCCTAATATTTCTACCCATTCATACAACATTTTCAGGTTTATTTTCTGAGTAGCATTGGAATTAATTAAGTCCAAGATAATGTAAAATACATTTTTAACTAACATTTCGCTCCTAACCTTTCAGTGAGTGGTGTTGATTTGGCAGGTCAACAAAGTACGAAGAAGTTGTAGGAATATCAGTATGAATGTGATAAATTTGAAATACATACACTGTCATCAGTCAAATGTATAAAATGTTCGCTATTTCAGTGGTGGCAAAGTGACAAGGTTCAACTCATGAGTCCCTGATATGAAACACCGTAAAGTTGGCATGAAGATAGAAGAAACTCCACCTGGTGACTGGCTACTGGGTGGTAACCAAATTTAACCTTAGCCATAATGCAGTGTATGCCGTGGTAGTTATTACATTAGGAGTGTAGTAAGACATACCATATCTGTGTAAGAATTAAATATAGCTGATGCTATACAAAATATTGATATCATGCTTCTTAAGTAAACGTTATGTACCTCATACTCATTGTACAGATATGCATGCAGACCCCTTAGCAGAACCTCAGACAAAGCCAGAACAGAGATACAATGCAGCCCATATCAGAACATGGAACACTGTTGAAAAGGCTTTTGGAGTGTTAAAGTCCAGATTCAGGTATCAAATTCATGATTCCATTTGTGTTTGAATGGTGATATGACAAACTATAGAAATATAATCTTGATCTCAGGATTAAAATAAAAGGGCTTCTAGGTTTTGGTCCGTTCTGTTATATATCACAGATATCAGTGTACCAGAACATTTCTCTTACCTTTTGAACTGAAGTTAAATCGTGTAACATAATAATTAACATGTGACTATTACATTTACATCTGAATGATAATTTGACGATTAATACAACCAATTAAGAACATTAAATGTTACACATGAGAAAGAATATGACGTCTTTGTTTATGGAAGTTTTGTTTGAAATTGAACATACATTTAATTGTATGAACATCACATTTATGCTGTAACTGCTGAAATTAATGCATACTTTCTTACAGTGACTAATGGTAATATGACTTTTACAGATGTCTCCATAATTCGACTGGATGTTTATGGTTTAATTATAAATTGATCAGCAAAGATGTGTTGCTGTAATTATGGCTACTATCAAGCCGCACAACGTCTGCACCAAAACAAATGTTCCAGCACCACCAGAATAAACTGGCATTGAAGTTGATCATAATACTAGGAGGACGCTGACTTCAGAGCGATTTACAAAGACTCTAAGCAAACAACAGAGTAGTCAGCAGTTAAATACATACATGCATATATTTGTATTACAGTTGAACAGTTCCAGAACATGTACTTGCAGATATCAAAATTTTAAACACAAGTGAGATACACTGGCGGAGATGTTAGCATGGTTAGGAAGAAAACGTTAATTTACATAAACTGGGGAGAGAGTATTGGGTGATTTATTTCCTGGATTCATCAGCAGATGTTGAAGCAGTTCAAATTTGGATTTCTGCAGGTCAAGCATTTCTCTCTCTCTAAAGCCAGATGTTGTGGTTTCCTCAGCATCCTCTTTTGCACCTCACATAGCTCTTTGAGGGCATCTGCTTTTGTTAGCTAAAATTGGGTTTAACGTCGTGCTTGAGAATATTTCGCTCATATGACGACGTGCATGCGTGTGTATGTGTATGTGCGGCTGCTTGTACTAGCCCAGACTTAAGATGGTTTTATAGTGCTATCCCACTGAGATACCATGCCGCAGTGAAGCATGAATACCCCACTCTGACACATTATACTGACTCCGAGCCGACCAGTTCTTGATGTACCCAATAATGCCGAGCGCCAGGCAGGAACCAACAAGTACCATATTTTAACGTGTTTTGGTTTGACGCGGTCGGGGATCGAACCCGCGACCTTCCGCTCTCCGGGCGGACGCTCTAACCACTACACCACGGAGGCGGTCCATCTGATTTTGTTGTCTCCACTTCCATGATTGAGGCAATGTATTCTGGCGGGTGTTTTGAGTATTCAGCAAGAAATGTTAGAAAATTAAATTTATAGTGTTCATTACAGCACTCGCATGTATTTTGCTCAGCGATCAACATGATACATTTCATTAAGACGAAGAATATGAAAAGGCCTTATATGTTAAGAGGTTGGATACCTTTGTGCGCATACCGTATGCGACGGGATGTGACAGTAGGACCGCGATTATGTTACGCAGTTATTTCCCTTTATCTTGCTTCTGATCATACTTCCGCTTCCGCTTATCTCCCCTGAATAAACATGTCATTTATCCTGAGGTAAACCTGGGCAAGAGTGATCTCCCCTTATCAAATTTAATTTGGGTATGCTGTTTTAATTAGAGATAATGGTTGATACCCTCTGGTCACATTTTTTAATTATTTTGGAATATTAATCTAGTGTGAAGTTACTATATAAAAATTCATTTTATAAAAATATCTAATTTCTTATTTTATTTATTTATTTTTTAAATTCCTGATTTTTTTATAAGTTAATTCATGTATCAAATCCTGCATACTGCCTTGAAAATAGATTTTCATGCTTTATTACATTTCAATACTGAAATATCTTTATAAAAAATACATATTGACTAATAAAAGTAAAGAATTTACTTTTAAGTGAGTGAGTGAGTTAAGTTTTACGCTGCACTCAGCAATATTCCAGCTATATGGCGGCGGTTACTCTTAAGAGAACTTTTATTGACATATTACTTTTTACAGATGGTGCCACAAAGGGACGCCACTTGTCAAACAAATGCCGTGGTGACTTGCTATTTTTATTATATAATTAGACTTGAGACACATTTTTCTACAAAATAATACCAAATTTAGCAATTTCTTGATATTTTGTATCCAACCTCCTTAACCGTTGACACATTGTATATCATACTGATATAAGTGAAAATTATCATTCCAATAATATGGACAGCACAAAATAGTTTTTAGCATGATTAAATAATGTTACATGCAAAATATTTAACAATGACATCATACCCCATTTTCTTTGTCTGCACCTTTTCGAATTTAAGTCCTAAATTGATATGTAACAGTCAAGAATACAGATGTGGTTCAGATTAAGTTTAAATGCCTAATTTAAAAATTAAATTACCAATGTAACATCACAATAGGTTCCTACAAAAACAGTCACACCATAATTGGATATTAAGTATTACTTTTTATTATCCATATGCAGTGTTCTAACATGATTCCTACCAGTCTCACTTCTGAAGTGATTGACCGAGCGCTTCAACCACCTGTTGAACATCTGAT